AAGTCTCGTTTACCTAGAAGAGTCATTCTCTTTGGGGTAGTCCTCAGTCATATCACCATCAGAGCTCATCAGCCTCTTCCTCTTCTCACTCCTACAGGACAAAATTATTTTTAGTTGTGGTCAGGGCAATCATTATTAAATGAACATCATTAAATTAAGATAACATGTGAGCAAACAACTGAGCAAAAAGTGCACACACTTTCCAGAGACACTGCACCCAAATCTAAAGTCATTGCCAGAGCAAATTTGCATACCTGTTCTCCGAGAGCCCATTGCGGCCAGGTGTGGACGTAATCCGGCTGGGACTCCCGAGAGGCTTTCGGGGTGTGCTGTCCTCTCTGCTGTCGAGACTTGGACGTCTTGGAGTGCTCTGAAAGAAACAGTACAGTAGGTCAGTCATATAATATTTAGAAAACAATTTCAGTGCTTGTGATGCTGTGCTACCTGTTTTTCTGATGGAGAAAGGCCAGAGTCGTTCTGTGCTGCACGATTCCCAAGAACTAATCCGAAACTAGCACTTCCCTGGTTTGTCTTTAAAACTAAAGAAAAAGAATAAACAAAAGTTAAAAGTGACTTAAAAAAAAAAAGAATGGACAGTGATGTGAAAACTACAAAACAAGTCAAAAAACATACCTGCTGGTTTTCCAAGCCTCACCATTTCAATATATTCCTTCATTTTCTTAGCAACCAACAAGGGCAGTTTGTCCATCATGACAACGCTCGAGTCTTTGAGAGTCAAAGTCACACGGTTTGGGCCATGCGTTGGATAGCATGAAAGTTGCTTAACGTTGTGATTCAGCTGCAATAAAATAAACAAAGGAGTCTAAATAGCACTCAACACAATACATTAGATGCTCATTAGGGTTGTGACGGTGAGGAAATTTTCACACCGGTTAATCGACGTGTGACAACACGGATAATCACTGCGGGGGTGGAGGCGGGGGCGTTCCCTCTTTTCCTTGCTTTCCTTCGCTTTCATATAGCTCGTAAAAGCGTGCGCGCATTTTACTTTCACTTTCAAATAGCGGCAATTCGGCATAAAG